GTTTTTTTTTTTCTGATCGCCAGCTGTGTGTAGGCCTACCTCTTGGTCTGGTTGTCACTGTCAGAACCTGAATTAATTCCTGGAAAAATCAAACTTTTGACCTGGAAAATCTGGAAAAGTCCTGGAATATTTTTTCACAAAGGTGTACATTTACATGTACATGTATGAACCCTGGCAAAGTGTTGGCTAAACTATTAAACAGTATGGGAAAGTTTTTGTAAACATTTTTCAAATTAAACGTAAATTCTCACCCTTAATTATGCAATCTTTACTTGGGTATCGTTTCATCCAGATTAAAATTGGGGACTTTGGACTCATGAGGGCGCTACCAGTAACGGAGACGTACTACGTCATGACCGAGCACAAGAAAGTTCCATATGCATGGTGAGTTGAGATAAGGCCAAGTAAAAATACACCTTAGTTTCTCGTACCTACCTGCTTCCTTTTTCCCAGCCGTCATTTTTTTTCTTATCTCCTTTTTTTTAGTTTTTTTTTTTTTTAATTAAATTTTCATCGTATCCAAGCTTTTGATGAGTTTGGATTGATCATTCTAGGAAATCTACAGATTTTTAATGCACAAGGTAGAACGTTTAAAGAGCACCTCTGAGGAAAACAAATTTTCTCTGATTTTATCTGTTCAAATAAATAAAAAGAGCCCTTTTAAGTTAGTTATGCTTGAGCTCTGAAGACAAATGACACTGCATTCAATTTAGATGGTTTCCTATTTATTTCAACAGATAAAATCAGAGAAAAAAATGTGTTTTCCTTAGAGGTGCTCTTAAACATATTGTAACTTGAAAGAATCCCCAATTGGATTGAAACTTGGCTGATGAAGAAAAAATGATCGGATGACAAAAAAATTTGACAGAGTTTTCACGAACTTTTTCTGGCACTGAAGCACTTTCTGTCTTTGATGGAATGTAACCAGGGAGTGGTAAAAAGTTCCAAATTTTTTTCTGAAGGTGTGCTCCGGAGAGCTTAAAAACCAGGCAATTCTCACATGCCAGTGATGTATGGATGTTTGGGGTGACACTATGGGAGATATTCACCTTTGGAGAGGAGCCCTGGTTGGGGTACAACGGAGCACAAGTAAGCCAAGTGCCGTAGCTTTGTGCACGACGAGGGGTGTTATATTTGTAGTAGGCCAAGTAAAGAACATTTACCCGTTAAAGTGTCTAGGTTATTGAAACAAAAGAGACTGTGGTTGGGTTTTTGAATTTTCAAGATGTCCACCATTCTTTTTTAATTATTTCCAACAGTCTTTGGTGTTTCCATCGTTCAAAGGCGTAAAATGAGAGAGACACGTTGGACAGGAGAATTGAAATATTAACAGTGGTGTTATGAATTTGTTTAGTAAGTTTGTAGCATGCTTTCACAAGACTTCCAAAACACAGTCGCTTTATGGTAGCATGTGCAATACGAGCGATTCACAATAGTGCGCCACCAAGAGTTGGCAACACATTAGCCAATCAGAACGTGCGAAAATTGTCAACCCTTTCCAAACGCGCAATGCGTCGACAAATTCCGCGCATTGTGATTGGCTGTCGCGTTGCAAACTCTTGTTGGCGCACTATTGTGAAAAGGCCGTATTCAATTTGTGTCTATTGGCAAGAAATGCTTATGTTTAGAGACTGCATGGTCAACTGTCAAAGTGCAAGTTAACCAATTCCGCACATTGTGATTGACTGTCGCGTTGCAAACTCTTGGTGGTGCACTATTGTGAAACGGCCGTATTCAATTTGTGTCTATTGGCAAGAAATGCTTATGTTTAGAGACTGCATGGTCAACTGTCAAAGTGCAAGGTGACCAATGGAGTTTAAAGTTAGAAGTTGCAACTCGCAAGTATTTTATTTGGGATGGATTTGTTGACTTTTTTGCTTACATGTATCTCTCTTCCTTTACTGGAGACGAAAATAAAAAAACCAGGATTTAGGAGCTAAAAATCAGTTATCTTTCATAAAGCCGCTCCTTTCTTTGGAAAACCAAATTGGTTCAGATTCTTCATAAGATCGATAAAGAAGGTGAGCGTCTGCCCAAGCCCGAACGCTCCCCGACATCAGTCTACGAACTCATGCAGCAGTGCTGGCATCAGTCTCCCGGTGAGCGACCAAACTTCTCAGCGCTCAAGGAAAGACTCATTCAGGTGTGTGGACATGCTGGAGTTCTTTTTAGCCCCTCCTTGTCTCGGGTTGTGCTTGTGAGATAATTGTCTCTTGTTTTCACGGCATTGTCGAGGGTGGGGATTGGGGGGGAGGGGTGAATGGAGCAAGGGGGCGGCTTGCCCCTCCTTTTATAAAGATACATTGGGGAAAAAAATTAGAAGGAAGAGGGAAACAGGGAAAAAAGGGAAAAGATCATCCAAACAACCAAGTTTTGTTTTTTACGCTCCACTAGAAGCTGGAGTGGAGTTCGCTCGTAGAATTTCTGCTCCGTCTATTTTGCCCCCCTCAGATTCGTCCAACTGACATGAAAGCGCAGCAGAACGTCAACACAGATCAACTGGACAAGATGGTAATGGAGGTTGGCGACACCATCGCCGTCATGGATGGAAGGTGTGCTTATTTGTTACTTGATATCATTCCGTTTATCGTAAATAGTTAGAAGAAATTTCATTGTCCAAGCAGCCTCTGATTACATGGACGTGCAAAGGGAACAGTATACCCTAAGTGTTAGCTGTACTCTCAGTGCTACAGTTTGTGGGTTCGTTCTTCCTTTTTTTTTGTATTTGAGACAACCGGAGTATGGTTTTTGCGACGACCGCACTGAAGAAGAGGTAGGATTTGTTGGGATTTGAATTGAAGAGGTGATAACTTGAGCCTGTGAAATGCATAGGGTGTCTGTATCGACTGGTAGTGCTGAGGCTGTCATGTGACCTGTCATGTGATCCCTGAAAATTGAGAATTTGTGGAAAGAGGAAATTGGTGGGCTCCCCTCCCAGATGAGCAGAGACGCAATGTAGGGAATGTGCTTCCTGTCACATGACCAAGCATGGTCATGTGGCCAAGTAAGGTCACCTGACCAAGTATGGTCTAACGGCCGAGTGTGGACACATTTTCAAGCATGGTCACAGGACCAAGTATGGTTAAATGTGCAAGTATTGTCACATGACCAGGTATAGTCACTCAGCCATGTGTGGCCACATGACTGGTCACATGAGATGCTCAGTACCACTTACTGATTTCAAGACCAAGACAGTATGGTAACCCCCCGCCACAAACTTTTCACCACAAGTCCTCACAAGGTATCGGTTCTTTGATTAGATTTTTTTTTCGGTGCTTTTTATCTAGGATGGATCTCAGAATTTTGGGCAAGAATTTCACCATTAAGCTGATTTGTATCTTGACTGTTACGCAGACCGGACAGTACTTGGTGGCGGGGCCAAAACCGACGAACCAAGCAGGTCGGGTACTTCCAACGACGGTATGTGTCGCCGCCTTCCGGGTCTCTGAGACAAGAAGACATCAGTCTGCCGTTGAGGGACAGCTTAATCCACACCGGCCACTCCGGTCCGGACGGCGAATCCTGGGGTCATCCGGATGTCATTGACGAGTGGGTTTAATTCATCACTCTTGGAAATTAGAAACTGTGTTCTGAACTTGCAAAATCATACGTCAGATGTGACAGGGACATGAAAAAAAAAGGACCCCTCATTTTTTGGAATTACCCTAATGCAACTTCACATGTGGATAAAAGGGTACAGACTATTTTTCCTTCCAGCCTCAGTTTGGTTATGTTGCTTTGAATGGCATAAAAGCAAGATGGGGTGCCCCTTGATAGAGGTCTATTGTATCCCACCATGCACTGCAGCAAACACTGTCTTACATCACCAGTTCAGTGGGTTGTTAGACAAGCGTCTTCATGTACATGTAGGTAGAGGGCTTCCACAGAGTAGCTACCGTTATTTTATAATGTTGGTTGCAAGAAAGTTTCAGGGCATCTTGAAATTTTTTGACACAATGTCTTAACCCCTTCATCCCGGGAACTGTCACAGCCGTGACTTTATTTGAGGGTTAGTGCATACCACACATACAGTCTATTCACCATGCAGCTGCTGGTTCAATGGGGCCTGCTGCTGGACACAGCCCTCCATTCGGGGCATACCACAGCCCATTAGTCACAGTCAAAATAATCCCGCCGTGAAGGGGTTAAAAAGCTGGTTGCAGATGAAAAAAGAGCACTGCATTGTATCTGTCAAGTTTGGTAACGCTTAACTTTCGTTGATCTTAAAAATGCACGTTGTACTTGGATTATATGCCTCTGATGGTGTTCACTATCGGATGTGTTTGCAGGGTGTATCGTATTCCCATGGAGCCGTTTGATGATCACTTTGGTGAATGTGGAGATTTCGGCGATTCAAGACCAGCCCTTCTGCTGTCGGACAGGTCCAAAAGTAAGTTCTCTAGCGCATCGAAGCTGAATTAGATGTTTGTTTTCAAACAACATAGGTCAGGAAATCAATTCAGCGTACCACTAACGAACGTAAGTGGGCGCAAGGGAGCAGCGTTTAAGTAGGGTCAGTGATTTTCTTCTTTCAAAATGTCTTCTTCGGCCATTTTAAACATTCCATTTTGACCGTGAGAGCAATGAAGGAAAATTTTTATCCTGTGTCTAGCAGTAGATTGCATCTACAAATCTTGATGTTATCTTAAAAGTTAGCCTCACTTTCAGTTCCATATGGTGGACTTGTGAATAAGGCCAGTTATGCCGACCTCCTTTGGACAAGGGGCCACACTAGGTATGGAAAGTTGGCACGTCAGGTTCTGACCCATTGTTTTTGTCTCATCAGGCAGCAGCAGCAGCAAGGAAAAGGACTTGGCAGCCAAGCGTGACAGGGCGACCAGGTCCTCGGGGCGGGCCAGCAAGCAGCTCAGTCAAGCCAAGCGTAGCCGGAATCAGGGAGAAGAGATCAGGGCCGGCTCGTCCGTGTTCTATGTCAGAGCTTCGCCGGAGGCGGATGGCGCCGACTCCAGACAGGAGAAAGACACCGAGCTGCTGATCGATTTCTCCGAGACTCTCGACGGAAGCGCAGACGGTGGTCAGGACCTTCCTGAGAGTCACTCGCAGTCGTTGGCTCTGTTGGATATGTCATTACCAGATAACGAGCTTCATCAAATACCCACACCCTTGCGTCCTGAACCCAGCCACGATCTCATATCAAGTGATCCTTTTAGTTTAACGATTGGTGCAACATTAACGCAAGGTGGGCAAAAATCGGAACATGAAAACTTCAGTGCAATGTCCAACAATATCGCAGGAAATCCTGTGAAGCAGCATTATGCCTCAACACAAGATTCGGTTTCAAAGTTTCGGGACGACTATCAGCTGAGCATGCCTGCTGCCCGAAAGACCAATCCATTTGATAGCTACAGGTCACACGTGTCTGATGCACAAACTTTCGGTTCGCAGAGCAGCAGCCCTTCTGTCCAGCATCGGTACGATGCTGTTGCCGATGATCCCGGGCCCGAATTTCCACAAAATGTTACAGCCAAGAGCCGTTCGGGTCCATGTAGCAGGCCCCTCAGTGATTCCGGCATGGTTCACGTCTTCAAGCCCCAGCAAAAATACGTAGATACCAAGGGAACTGGTGCCAGGTCGTCCCTGGTGAAGGGTAGACATCTGTACGACGATGTGCCGGAAGAAACTGGTCACCCACCCGTGGCGAACACGCCCAAAAACTGGGTCCATTTCTATGACGAAGTCCCCACCGAAAATGACGATTGCAATGGCAAGACCAAGGAAGTGCCGCAGATGGTCGATCCAGTGCCGAGATCCCATCAGAAGCCTGTTCAGCAAGTTCGCCGTTACTCCCCCTTCTCCCAGGACACCCCAGTCGCCAGGAAGGCGGCCTCGCTAATCTCCGCCACTGTCACTCTTGAAAAAGTAGGAGCAAAATCCGCCAGTTGTCACAATGATAGGGGTTTCCAAGATATCAGTCAATTTCGGAGCGATTTTGGTAGCTCTAAGTCAGGTGACGATAACAATAAGCCTGGCTGTGCAAGATCTGATGGTACTGAGATCTCAAAGTCGTTTCTTGCAACCGACGGTGACGCACATCAAAGTAGCTCGGACAGGGCTCCACTTATTGGTAAAGATCACAGTTGTATTCAAGACGACTTGAAGCCAGGCAAATTGGTCAGTAAGTTTCTGAAACCCGATGATAATATGATGTTGATGAACTTTCCCACCAAGGGGAAGAAAGACGAGGGCGACACAGAGAATGAAAGTGAACAGAGACCGGAGTTACCGCCACGCATGCCTGTCGCGGGGCAGCAGCCGGCGGGCAGAAGGCACAGCCGGAAACTGGACCGATCCGAGAGAAAATCGGATCCCTTGCATTTGAACACAAGGTCCCGGCACGAGTGGACGCAGCAGAGGAACGAGGAGGAATCCCTGAGCTGCCCGATCTTCAACAGTGACTCCAATCTGCCTGAGGATCAAAAGCCGCCCCTTCCCCCTCGAAAGCCGGTGCCCGAATCATCCGATCACCTCCGTCACTTTGTCAGGCCGGTTGAGGAAAGCAAGTCCAAGATTTATCCCATCATGAGGGACGGAGTCAAGCTGAGCAACACTCACTACTTTCTCCTTCCCCCGAAGCCTTTGTCCGTTGTGCACACAGTCGACAGAAGCAGCCCCCCGAGTCCAGAAGTTGATTTGGGTGAGCCGCCCGTGTCACCTTCCTTTGGCGTAAAGTCACCCACGACAGCCCACATCCGCCCTATCATGCGCGACGGAAAGCAAGCGAGTGATACCCACTATCTGGTCACACCAGGGCGTAGCACAGTCTTCACAGATTCGCTCAATGCCCACAGCACCTCTGTTGGCGACCAAGGACACAAAACGGTTCACTCTTTCTCATCCAGAGGAGCTCAGAGCTCTGCCGACGGCAAAGCTTCTTTGCCACGGAATGCGCTTGACCTGTCCACGCTCAGCCCCATTTTACCCCAACCCAACACCAAGACCATCCAGTACACCCGCAGCAACAGCTTTGGCCCCTCGTCCTCGGCTCTCACCACCGAGGACTCGGATTTGATGGCCTCGGAGACAAAGTCCTCGGCTATCCAGAAGATGCGGCAGGTCCAGGCCCAGGTGCACGGCGTGACTATGGAGGAGTGCCGCAACGTGCTCATCGGCAACGCGTGGCACGTCGACAACGCCGTCCACGAACTGAAGATCGAGCAGCTCTTCCAGCTGGGGAATGTGACCCGCGAGCGTTGCGAGTCGCTGCTCCGTTCCTTGGACTGGAATTTGCAGCTAGCTAGTTCAGTCATACTTGATCAGTCATGAGTGCTCAGTTCGAAATGCCAAGTCATTTAAGTGTTGCTTGCTCTCAGACATCGTCTATTTCTAAAATAACTTTAATAAAGAAGTTGCTAATGCAATTGCATCGAATGAAGGAGTTTTAACATCTATTCAAGTGACCTACTTAAACTTTATACGTAGCTGGTCAAACATATTTGTCAGCGGTATAGTGATAGCTCATGTGAAGTCATCTATTTCTGGAGCAAAGCTTGTCAGTAGAGTTGCCAAGGCAAACACTGTGTTCACCGGTCAGTGTTTTTCAAATTTTACACTCGTAAAGATCAGTACCACCATTCCAACTTCCCAATCGAATCCAATATTACCAGCCGAGACAATATCCAACTTCTTTGTTGTTCTTGCAGTTTATTATCATCTACAACTTGACTGACATGAAAGCACATGTACGTGCAAGTCTGCTCCTATTTCATCGTGAATGTAACTCGCCAACTTTTGTGCTCAAATTCTATGCAACAGTATCAGGCAGCACTGTAGTTCTCCATCTGCCAGTTAAAATATCTAGGATGGAACACCCCTGATGTGATGTGATCTGTGTTGTTGCCGTCAAATTAACCAACACCAGAACCTTGAGGCTATCGTGTACATAAATGAACTCAGTATGGGCCCGTTTGTTTCTCACGGATCTGGATCGTGATCGGTGAACCCAGGGCTGGTTTGTGCCATCTAGTAGGCGGGTTCTGGTGTCAGTGAACCAGCGACAGATCACTGATCGCGATCGGGATCCGCGTGAAACAAACGGAGCCTAAATTTACATTTTACTTATAGATTAAGACCACATGCATGCCATTGCCCACCGTGAACAATACCATTGCATGAAGAAAGTAAAATTATGAAATAGAAAAATATTTTGAACAGTAACTCATTGAGTATGCATAAGATGCGATCAATTTATATAACGAGTTTTGCCCTTACCCAACGTATATATTGATAAACACTGTATGCTCAGTGCTTGTCCGAGAGCTTGCAAAAAAATTCACAAGCTCACTCGAACCCTCGACCTCCTGCTTACTAGTGCAGATGTCTTAACCACTCGACCACCAAGCTTGCCGGGGTCGGCTGGCCGGTCCGAGTCAGGTGAAGCAGCGGGTACCGCAAACTATTTTCATGATGTATTTTTTTTGGATCAGTGTTTCATCTGGGATTAAAACATCTAGCCTGTCTTTTCCAAGGCCATGTTCAAAACTGTTTGATGGAGATTCTAGATGTAACACTCAAATTTGGTAAAGTTTTATTGGTCACTCATTAAGGTATGCAATACCTTGCTATTGTTTGAGAAAGTGACCTTGGAAACTCAGTCATCACAGTTTTTAAAAAATAACTCGTGTTTTGATGCAAACTCTTTAGTAACAATGATCACTGAATATCTTGTGCCAAGTGCATTATTCAAATGCAAACGGTGTACCTTTGCGGTATCTCAGCATGGAGGGTTCCGCATTTGTTAAAGGAAAAACTGATACAGTAATTATATGCAATGTCGATCATTTGTTCGATTGATAAACAGTTTTGCATCGCCGTTTTCCATGAAAAGTGACTTGTTGATAGTTTTGCAAATCTTGTGAAATATTTTTTTACCATCACAGCTCGTCACAAAATGGCTGTCAGTAAATGTATGTGTTCGCTGTGTAATAACTGTTCGTAGATCAACGATGGGTCACAAAACAAAACAGTGATTGGTCGGTTCGGAGTTTACTCTTTCAGTTGCGAATATTTCTTAACACGGTCATCAAGAATGAACTGTAATTAGGATATGTACCAAGACCAGGGTGCCAAATTGCAAGGGCAAATGGGGGGAGTATGACCCCCAAACAGAGGCCAACAAAAAATTATTTAAAAAATGTGAAAGGCATTTTTTTGTTTCTAAAAACATGTTAAAGGCACCAAACTGTAGCCTGAGACAAGCCATAATAGGTTATAAAAACAATTTCCAAGATACATGTATTCTTGCTCAAACAAAACCCTCCCCCCCCGAAAACTTGGTCCACCTTTGCCAAATGGGAAGACAAGTAATGCTGCTTGTGTATTGGTGCTCTCTAATGTTCATGGTTAAACTCTCGCTGTGCTTGCCGTATACAGCTTTTGTCTTTTCTTCACTGTAGATAAAAAAAACTTAAGTAGCTCCAGCATGTCTAGTGTGACACAGAAGTTGTCGATGACACGGATTGTTCACACGCATTTAGCCTGTCAGAGCGACATCAGAAAGAATGCCATTGCATGTATAAAGATGTATTGTATTTGTAAATTCTTATTAACTTCGTTTTTAACTTTGCATATATCTCTATTTTACTTCCTAAGCAGTGTATATGCAGCTTACATAAGTTATACTGTAAGTTAATTTGTACATGGATTTGTAGTTCAAGAAAATGTACATGTTCAAAGCTCGGGAGGGAGCCAAAATATATGTTAAGAATGTACAGAAAGCTGTCAGTGCGGAGGAAGGTGAACTTTGGACTTGTTTCCAAGACGATTACTCAGAGCAATTTAGATTGGCTAAGTATCAGTCCATGACTGTCATTTTGCTATTACAATCTTTCCTGTATGTGATGTATGCTACATCTTTGATGTTTAACTTGGGTGTTTGTGTATAGCTGTGTTTTGCGTCGTTACTGTCAATGTTGTTTCCGATCCTTGCATGTTTCATCGCAAGCCGAATCGAGTCACAGGCTATTGAAAATAGTGAACTTTGACAAGAAATTTGTCGTCGTTTCCCTGTTACTTGCGATCTGTCTTGCGAAAGGGCTCCTGACTCGACTTGTGATGGACTTGATCACAACGCTGTATTACATTGAAAGTATAACCGCGTTAGGCTGTAAATGGTATACGCAAAAGCGAGAACTATACTCTTTTCACAATTTCAATTGTGTAGCTTTCACAGTACGTACTGATGAGAATATAGTGGCATTTATCCAAAGTCCAGTAAGTTTTCGTTTGAAATTCGGGTCATATATGACATGAAAGTATTAATTATAATATAGTTATAATAAAGGATCTAATGGAAAGAATATGTAATTTGAATTAAAGAAATGAAGTATTAAGTTTAGTTTACTTGATGGGGGGTGTTTCAAGTAGTCCTGTCCTGTATCATTACAATTGAAGCTTGTAAGACGTCACGTCATTAAAGAGTGTTGAGAAATGATCTCTTGCTTGTCAGTCGACGTTATTTTACACCCCTTCTGGGTTTAAATCCATCTATACTATTGGCCAGATGTCGCATTCTGTTAATTGCCCGTTTTTGTTCAATTCAAACATTATAAAAGAGCAGTTGGTTTGTTCTGCTTTGTTTTGGCATTACTGTTGTCTTCTCAGTGAAAGACCTGGTAAATTTTTTTTTTCCTGAAAACAGTTTTGTCAACTCTAAGATCCGTATGAAACTTGGAATTTTGTTTAACAGATTGTCCATATGCCTTATTTGGATAAGCAGAAATGATGGTACCCAGGTGCGAATCCAGGGTGGGGTGGTCGAAATCCCTCCCACCACCCGCTCTGCTCTTTATTAAAAAAAAGGAGACAAAATTAGGAAATAAATAACAAATAACTAAAGTAGGCCTGAGTGCATCATTGTAGACAATGTATATCATGCAGTGTATCATCATCGTTTCAACATGAGCCATTACAAAAATCCAGCCTGACCCCTCCCCCTGCGCCGAGAAAGCGGACAGGTGCGTGCCACACAGTGCACACTGACAACGAGGTTGATTCCCAGCAGCAAAGCTACACGTTACGATGTGATCGCTCCCGGGCGTGAGGTTGGAAATACATGTACAAAAAAATGGCCGCCAGCGGTGTTAGCAACCGGTTAGCAGATCGGAGGGCGCTGAAATTGAAACCGTCGTGGAAAGATGTCTTTGCAGCCAGTAACCAGGTTCAGCCATTTGCCGGTGAAAGGAGCGATGAAGTAGCGGGAAACCCGTCGAAATGTTACTGTTTGCTTGTTCAAGTCTTGGAAGGTTTGGATGACTATGAAAAAGTAGTGAGTATTAAACTATTAACGTTGTCACTTTCCGTCAGTGTTCGTCAGAACCAAACCAGAGGAATGTTTCATCCGAGTGCATTACCTGATACAACTTCCAAGTTTCACAACACAAGTCCCTTCACAAGTCCAGTCACAAGTAGGCCTACCTCCACAAGGCCAGCTCATACTAGTAACAAGGTAAACAACAATCACAGCTCATTTGCAAAGCTTGTGATTTGGCTTGAGACTGAATGACTTGTGATGGAAGTTACACAGGGACTTGCACTGTTTTTTGCATGGACTTGTGATGGACTCGAATGCAACACTGGTGTTCATGATGTAACTTTTGGACATAAGCTATGCAGACATGTTGGACTTCTGCTACACATGAAATGACATTTGCGTCTTACATGTAACATTTAATATCTTACTGTTTGGAATTGGATTTGAAGCATTCTCTGCGATTTGCCAACACTCAGCCTGAGTGTATGGAACTACTGTAGGCATGGTAGGCTACAGTAGTTCCATACACCAACCAGTAGGCAGTACTGTTATTAACCAGGTCAGAGGTTGCTCCAAATTTGCACTCGTGACTGGGCAAAGGGGGCAACCATGGCAACCCTCCATTCACTTTGTCTTTACAGGGACTTGCATGTTTTCCTCATTTTTTGCTGCATAAGCCATGTACCAGTATTAACAAACCTTTTCAGTACATGTATAGATATTCACAGTGCATCAACAGTGAAATTTCGGGCATAGGGCTACATGTATTTAATGGAAAGGTGAAAAGTTTAGTCAATTCAGATTTTCCCCATAATGCCCATAGACCACAATAAAATTCCATAGGAACGTTGCACTTGCATGAAGTTTTAAAGTTTATTCAATGCTTCCAGTTGTTTTTCACCTGTGAAGTAGACTATCTAAGACGTCAGAAACCACTTTTGCCTGCTTTAATTTGATTTATTTTTATGGCAGTTTGAAGTTTGGGGAACTAGGTGTGAGAACCTTAAAATTTGTAGAAAGTCTTGATCCCAAGTTATATAGTGCCGAAGCACCAAAGAAATTTATTAATAGTTCAATGTCAACTTTGATGGACCTTAACTGTAGTCCAGAATAGAAATTACACCCTAGTAGAAACTTTATGAGTGAACCTGTGTATTTCAATTTTCAAATTTAAGTATTAAAATGTCCCATCATTCACAAAAAAGTTGTTTATTTTGTACACTTATATATGTGTATTTCATTTAAAATTTAATCTATCTTTTAGTCAATCTCATACAAAAACCTGAGAAAAAAGTTCACTGATATCTAATGAAGAAAATATTCATTCTCAAAATTTGTCCCGTCAGTCACATGCTGTCCTGTCAGTCACGTACATTTCCACTCTGTGATTTGCACTTTTGTTCAAAATTTGAAGTATATGTAAATATGATTATGCACAATGACATCAATTTACATATAATCATTTTAATACATTATATGATATACTTATAAATACTTCAGTTTTCAACTTTTAGAACAAATTTCCCACGGGAAAAGGCATATCGATGGGATTAGGGGGGCTTCTCAAGCGCTGGGTTTCTGAAAGTGTCTTGGCCCAAAAACTTGACATTAACACGTCCAAGGAATTTATGTTGCCCAAGATGTATGTCCTAACGTCAGCATCATGATGTCACAGGATGACATGAAATCCCAATTCTGCAAGTTGGAGATATCGTGCCTTCCTGGAATAAGAAGTGCCTGCTACCTGTATTTCCAGTCACATCAAAATTGGCTCTCACAGCAGCTCAATGGGACAGCAGTCCTACCTACATGTACATGTACATGTACATGTACTTCAGTGTCAAGAGGGGAATTATTTCCAATCCCAGCAGACCAGCCCCCCAAAGCATTAGCTATAGTTACTGACAGTACAGTAGTTGTAATGTCCCAGTGCATGTTGCCTCTGCACCATCCCCAACACCATCATCTCAGAGCTGGAACATGGGTTGAAGTGCTCTTTGATATGGTCACGTGTAATGGTATGATTCTTGACGTCCAGAATAACCAGTACTCCATGTACTTGTACATGCAAATACTGTGCTTGAAACTTGCAGAAGGTGGTACAGTATGCAAGTTTGAGCCAGTGAGAGATGCTGTTTGGTATCCGATCCAAGCAGGAACGAAAGAGGGCGTGTTTTGAAATGACATTGACAGTCCTTTGGTACTCACACACTGCATAGGTGTTCAAGTTCATGTGCCATTGACGCGGAGTATACTGAGTATGTGCAGTGATTTTAGTCTAGAATGCGTGGTCTTTGTGTGCACGCCAAACGCGTGCAAGAATCTGGTTGGAAAAATTACCGGTAGTACCGTATGTCTTTCTTTCGCCGGTGAGGGCGCACTTCAGCTCAGGGTGGATAAGAGGATATTGTGAAAACAACGGCCGATGTTCCAACTAAGATTCATTCTAGAGATGTTTATTACAAAGTTTGAATTTGATAATTCCAAATACATAGATCTTTACAAACCAAACCAAGTGATCATGTGCGCTGTTTTACACAGTGCACCTACATGTACAAGTGTATGCGCACAATGTCCTTGGTACATGTACATGTACATGCATAAACAACACAGGGGAAGTCCAAATAAACACTGTGTGAGAGAATTACTTACAAAGACATAGATCTGTGTAATGATTTAAACACCAGGGGGCCAATTTCATAGAGCTGCTTAAGCACAAAATTTGCTTAAGCGCGAAAAAACCTTACTTGCTAAATCAGGTAACCAGCCAAAACTCCATGTGATGTATATTGTTTTGGGATTGTATTTAGCTATTTTTTGGTTAGCATTACAATCAGATAGAGTTTGAGCTGGTAACCTTTGTTTATTAAGCGACTTTTTTTCCCGCTGAAGCAAATTTTGTGCTTAAGCAGCTCTCTGTACTGAAGATGAGATGGGAGAAGGCATTAGAAGTAATTACAGAGCTACTTGTATTTTGTGACTCAAATGATATTAAAAGTAATGTCTATCATCATTCTCTTCTGTTTAAAACATCAGTTTGAAGACCTAAAAATGACTTTCAAGTATTGTATGCTGAGAAAAATGTGCAAAAAATGTCCCGTCAGTCACGATTTTGGTGAGCCGAGTATTGGAATTTGTAACTTTGGTTATATTGGATGTAATGCTCACTGGTGGTTTATGTACCAATGATTAATTTTGAGAAGACTTTACAATAAATCTCAGTTGAAAACAGATAGCTTTTTGCATAGATTTACTTTTCTGAAAAGTGACTTTTTTCTTGTCCCATCAGTCATGCTGATTGTAAATTGCAACCATACAGCCATTTAATTATTTGGTTTCAGCCTGTTTTTAATCTGAAATATAACTTGTTCTTGTTGATTTACAAAATGTACACCAGAACTTTTTTTGGCTAAGCCATTCACTTTTTTGGCTAAGCCATTCACTCATTCACTCTTTTGGCTAAGCCATTCACTCATTCACTCTTTTGGCTAAGCCATTCACTTTTTTGGCTAAGCCATTCACTTTTTTTCTGCAAGCTTCTAAAAAAAAGGGTTGCATCAGATTTTCCCGTCAGTGCACTTGAATTAGCCCTTTTGAGTTTGGCATTGAAATATGGAATAGCTACCAATTGACCAAACAGAGATATGGATCGATACTCAGTGATGTTATCATGTATATGAGAATGAGCAGTTTCAAAAATGGGTTGGAGTAGGCCTACGGTAGGTTACTGCTACCTACATGTACAGGTAGGCCTACCACCCAGGGGAATTGTATATTTTGGGACCCCCCAGTTTTTTGTAAAGTTAAATCTTGTAACACTATATTTAATTTAAAGTTTTCAAGTTTTTTCCAGTCAATGATTTGGATATCTTTAATTGGATGGAGTTGAAACTTTGTAAAAACTTTGCCTATGGTTTTTGAATACCCCGATCAAAGATGTGCAAAAGTGGAGATCAGTGTGCAAAGTAATGAAAAGAAAAACCAAGAACCTTCTTGTGAATACGGGCGTTTCACAACAGTGCGCCACCAAGAGTTTGCAATGTGTTGGCCAATCACAACGCACGAAATCGGTCGATCCAATGTGAGTTTGGAAAGGTTGACAAATTTTGCGGGTTCTGATTAGCCAACGTGTTGCAAACTCTTGGTGGCACACTATTGTGAATCGCCTGTATTGTGATGCATGTAAGGGAATCTGCAAAGACAAAGCTCCTTCAAGGCCCACTACGTTGTACATGTATTTGCCAATATTGATGACGCTACCCAGAAACCCCCAATGGCAAGTTCACTGAATAGTTTCTAATCACTCCGTGTCACAGTCGTGCACAGTTTTTCCCCCCGTTTGGCTGGTATAAATGAGTACACACACCGCAAGTTTGGAAAAATTCTCACACGGTTTACATTTACAACACCAAATAATAAGTACTTCAACAAAAAATTGATTACAAATACGACCTTTTCTCAAAGTAATGGGACCGTGCATGATTGGCGGTACAGTACATGTACATGTAGAATCTGACATCAGTCAAGGGAGATATTTCTACAAACTCTGCCCACCCATCTTGCCCTTAGGAACAGCAGTAAGATGGGAGTCTTTAATGATTTCCAAATTGTTAAAAAAAGAAAGAAAAGAAGGGCAAATATGGTATTCAGTTTAAGAAAGGAAAGTGAAAATCACAAAATCGGAGTTACGTGCAGTACTGTGTTACCTGCAGGTGTGACGGTCATAAAAACGTGCCCAATTTAAATGCCTCCCCTCCCCCATTTATTTGGTTCAACCCATACCTACCTTATGATGTAATCCTGTTTTAATCTACCGGTGGGAATTATTCAAATCAGAGAAGCGCCCTCTATGTTACTCTTCCTCGTCGCACGTTTCGTCCATACTCGTGTGTTACAAAGGCCCGTCCATACCGTCCGGCCTTCGCTTCCACAGTTTTATCCAGGATAAGGCAGCAAAATTGAGATGTCTGGTTACCACATGTACGTGAACAGTGTGCCAGAAGTACACTGAACCTTTATTGTTTATGTATGTACGTACTGTACCTAATGAAGAACATTGTGGTTTCCCTCTCTGCCTGAGGTGCATGTACATGTAGGGTACAGAAGTACATATTTGCAGCGGACAATATATCTTCATAGTAACTGGTATGCATCCTGGGAAATCCTGGGCCCTGTGATTTTGAATACACATCCTGATATCATGAGCAAGCCAGACTATCGATTAGACATAAATAGGTCACGCCATTCAAGCTAGTTCAGAATTTGCCCATGTATTCTTGACCTACATCAATCAATCATTGACTCACCCGTCCACTGATAGTTGAAGGTTTGCTCGCGTTGTGGAGAGCCGTTGGAGCGGAGATAAATCGCCATGGAAACCAAAGTAGACGCAGGGAACGGGAGCGCTGTTTGAATACGGGGGAGCTGGTTGCTGTACGCGGGGAATTATTAACAGAGGAACGGAGGTGTTTTGTGTTTGGAAAGGAAAAAAATCTGGTGGAATGGCACGTATCCCATACCAATGTTATTACTTTATCCCATCTTTGCAGGCTGTACATTATTGTAGGCAGGCTGCCCACACACAACATGCATGTTGCTGTGATGGCAACCGGGGCCTGTATTGGTAACAGTGGATGTCATGAACGGGCCGTCTGAGAGAATAGGTCAGATATGCCCTTGAAGTGTAATGGAGGATTGTGGTACCGAGGGAATTTGTGATTGGCAGAGCCACGTCTGTCGGGAGTGTTTTCGCTGTACATGTTTGTCTGGGAGGGATTGGGTGTACAGTAGATTGCCAGCTCGGATGTCAAGACGGAGCTGTGAAGAGCCTGGCAAGGATGTCGACCGGACACCCGAAGAAACCACCTGGCGTCAAGAAGAGGCAGGCATTGCGTGTACCTACCATTACTCTGGCCACGCCCAGCCTGCTCGCACCGGCTAGTACAAATTCTAACTTGTCTCGGACAAAGGGTATGGCGGTGTCCATTGGCACTTTTCCAAATCAGCTTGCACCTCTTCATCATGCTACGGCCCCGTCTCCGTATCCTTCGCTTGACGGTGTCTTTACGCCCAGGGTGTCTCAAACCAAGCAAGACGTGAGGGACATCGGCTTGCAGTTTAAGAAGGGTTATTTTGTTCCTGCCAGCTACCGGCGCACATTGGTGGAGAAAGCCACGAGTGAGGACTGGGTTCCATTTTGTGTAACTCTTCTAAGCATTGATGGACTTGGTCCGATGTTCTCAGAAAAGGTACCAGTATGTTTATAGATTGATGGGAAAGTTTACGGTTACCAGTTATTCATCTCAAGATGATACGTGGAGGTTTTGTATGTTGAAGTACAACTGTAGTTTGCTGTAAGGAATATATTGGAAGAGCCAATAGGAGTGGACTTTGGGGGCATTTCCCCTTCAGAAAGGGGGGATTTATTTTTAATGTTTGATTTTGAAATGTAAAGAGAGAAAGGAGGTTCTTTGAAGGGGTTCTAGGAGTGGTTTATTTTCCATAAATTTCCAAAGCTTTTTTCGATCTGTCCAGCAGAAAGGGCACAAATGGGTACTTATAAATTTCCTGTTTTTTGTCCCTTCAAAAATTCCCCCCCAAAAAAATGGGTACCTAACCTGTTCCTTGTTTTCTGTTCTGTATGTGAAGTACTTCATAAATGAACATGTCAACTTCAAAGAAAAGAACCAGTACGCCAGTACGTGTAGGGTTTCTGGCAGTGTGCCGCCCCCCCCCCAAAATATTGCATCCTGATGAACTTGAAGTTCATATTTCCCTCACGGTGCCACTGCAAGTTACTGGTAGTCCACGCTCATCCTGTTCCATGGATGCTTCATGAAATCCAATTCCAGGAGACCTAATAAACTTTGCCTTACAGCATTTTGACATTAAGCATATGTAAACACAGACTGAAGGATCTGCAAACTGGGCTTTCTTTGGGCGGGCATGATTGGGCCCTACTGGATGTGTTTTTCAGGTCAGGTGCTGTTGCAACTCCATGGGCACCTGTATCAATATGTGGAGGGATCAGTTTTTCACAGTGGCACACCGTCAGTAGATGGGTCATTCCATGAGGTTGGGGCGCAATTTGTGACGGTGTCCTTGTTACATGGGTAACTTTTACCACCTGTCATGACCTGTAGAGTAGGTCATTTTCTCTAAAAAATAACCCACACCTCTGTATTCAGCCTTGCAAGGCGTATAACAATGTCAATTTGGAATCCACATACAGGGAAATACATTTGTAGCTGTTCATTTTTACGGAACCAATGTAACAATTGACACCATCACAAATTGTGCCCCAACCTCATGGGATGACCCAGATCTTACCAGGATCTTAACAGCAATAAGCAGAGTTACATGAACATATGTACGTATCCACTGCCATCGGTCATGTACACACATGTAATTCGTCATGTCAGTGCCAAAAGCTCTTACTGGAAAACTGCATTATAAGATCCTTACTGGAAATTACTACTGGTATTCTGAACACGACACCTGGCAACAAATTTGTTGAAATTTAAATACAACATTTCTTGCATGCTGAGGGTAAGGCCCAAGAGTATTTTCAAAAATTACATTTTTGCTGTAATGACCTTTCAACACTGAGCTGACGAATGTACTTAGTCTTCATTACGTACATATAGTTACATTACAAAAATGGACTAGGATAAATAAAGTACATTCACCATGTTCAATGTACATGTACCTGTCTTTACGAACAAAGTTTCCTGAAAGGGAATATGACAGAGAAACATTTTGATTGTTTCTGTAAACACTGACTTACCAAAAAATGATTTACAAATGTTAAGAATTTCTCTGTTTCTCTCCTCAGTTTAAAGCATTGCCCAGAGACCTTGGTTTACTTCGGTCATGGTTAGAAATGTTGCAGTTTTCCACTCATCTTTGGCACAAACAGAACGAGTTCAAACAGAAGAGGCCACCAATCAGGCACAAAATCTCTTTTAGCAGAGAGTTTTAACCTTTCTTAGCTTCACTTTGGCTTAATGGCAAAAAAGGTTACGTACATGTACATGTACACGTAGCATGCGCATATTTCATTTTTAAAATACCAAAATGGGTAACGAAAATCCTTTGTTTCAGACTCTCCAAAAATGTTTTCAAACCAAACAGCGCTCTCTCATGTAACTGTGTTCCGTTTCAGCGGCGTACCACTCAACTGATACGTCTTCTTCTCTTTAATTAATGTAGATTTTTCTTCAATCTGCTACTGCATTTGTGGTTGTGGTGCTTGTAGTTCAGAAGATTGATCCATTTTTCTTTTGTTCTCCCCACTCCGTCCTCGTCATGGAATTGTCCGTGACAGATTGTATACGTTAGCGTACACAGCGTGCATCTGCTAAAGTGCTCATCTCGTTATCACAAAGACACCATCATGAATGATTGAACATTCTGCACTCTTTTATTGATAGAAAAGGGTATTTTTAATGTCACTCGATGCTGAGTTGGCTATCTGACTTGGGTATTTGCAGAGTATGAGAATTTCCATCAGTGTTGAGCCTTTGTTCGTGGTGGCCCCCCCCCACAAAAAAAACACTAAATTTTCTGCACTTTGCAGTGAATGCTTTAATGGATTACTGTAATGCATACAGTACATGTACATGTGACCTGTCACGACAATTTTCAGGGTTCAAAGTCATATTGAAGTGGAGGTCAATTTTGAGGTTTTGTAATATTTGGAAAGAGTTTCGCAGAATCACATATTTAAAAATGTCATTTTCTCAGCAATTTTGACAAAAGCATATTCATGCCTGGTCAGATATGTTGAAATAGTGTCAGGAGCAAAGACACAGAGCTGCCAGAATAATGCCACATCGTCATCTTAAACTTTTACCCAATGTGTTCCATTTACATGCAATTGGAAAGCTCTCTTTCTGCTGAATTTAAAAATACCAATCTCTCAGTTTTGAAAATTCCAGCTTTCAGCTCATTTTGAGGTCACATATTTAAGGTTCTCGGTTACTAGCTTCCATCGTCAGCAAATGGCAAATCTTCACAAACTTTGTCTATATCGGGAGCAGTTGGCAAGAAAAACAACTTGTACTGAGCACTGCTTTAAGTTGGCCCTAGAAAGGTGCTTTTATTGGAAACATAGTCCATTATTTAACATTTTCCGGCTAGAGCCCTCATGACAATGCTTCCATTCACGAGACACTGAGCGATACAAATCTACGGCCCAGGGAGATTTTGTTTGAGTAAACGGTGGTGGTGTTTATTATTCTTTTTTGCTGCATGGGCAGTTGAAAGCCACTTAAGGATTGTGAAAATGAAACTGGCTTGGCACTGAAACCAATTTTGTGGTTACCGTGGAAACTGATGAAACCTGCATGGCAACCATGTTCCTGTACGTGAAATGAAGAGCTGTTAATGGGTCCAAATTCTGCATTGAAAATACTGTTTTGTATCATTTAAAACCTGCAGTCAAACGCTACAGTAGTTGACTGAGAGGTGTCTAATTGCTGTCAAATATTGGGTTTCACATGTGTATGCCTTCAGCTACATGTACATGTACATGTATATTGTCGTATTTACAGTACATGTAAGTGACCACCATTCATAAACCAGGCTGAAGTACTGTACCTGTACAGTACATGTACACATGTACCTACATGTACATGAATACATGTACATGCATCATTCTATAAATTTGGGGTCCAATTTTTGTCCCGTCCCTGTTACGTCTGGCATGTGATTTGTTAATTCCAAGATTGAATAAGGACTGCAAATTACCTGCCAAACAAATAACAATACATGCAGAATGTGGTTTGAAATCAGTTTCAGTGATACATGTACATCGCATGTCAAACATGTCAGATGGCAACAGGGATGGAAAATTGTCACACTTTGGACCCCAAATTTATCGAATGACTCATGTACAAAGGTAGGTAATTGATGTTTAACAGTTCGTATCCCCCTGTGTCAAAGTAGATTGTACATGGTACAATACTTGAAAGTGGTCCAAAAAGTGCAGTTTTTGTCTGCAGCAAGCTGTCTGGTTCATACAGTTGCAGGTACGATTAGTGAAAGTTATTGATGTTCTTCGTTTGTTCATCGTGAATACTGGTGTCATTTTCCTGATAATAGCTTGAGAATAGAAGATGTTTGTCAGCCTGGCTTTTGGAATGGAGGGTCACACTTTTGGGAGCTCTGGTCCTGCTCACTTTCCTCAATGTAGGGGCCAAAAATTCATTGTCTGCATTTGTACAAGAAACTTAGCGCGGGTACTGTACCTGGTCAATTCCCACGTACCAGTTTCTGGTCAGTGCTGTTCTGATCAAAATGAAACTAAAAAAAGAGTGTAAAGGTTTTCAAAATGTCAAATACATGTATTTCATGTCACCAGGTATTGTCTGTTATTTCAATCCCGAGGGTTATCTGCTTTTCATACTCGAACCCTAAACGCTTTGTAATAACTCACACGTTCTGCCACTTGAGTCTTGAATCCGATGCAAACAACAACGATCACACAGTTCATTCCAGATCTACCAGAACGCTGAGTTTATTGAATAAAACAGTTTCTCAAACAAACATCTTGGTGGTGAAAATAATACAATTTGGCTTTCAGAGTTGTTTGATCCTGGTTGACTTACATTCACTCAGGCTTTCGTTTAGGATTAGGAAAAAGCCGGTTTCAGATTGCCACTCTCTATTCTTAGCCTGTCTCGCACATGTTAAAAGATCGCCCCATAATCCTTTGCGGTAGCTCGCTCCCTATGCAAATCTCACTACTGAGAGTGCAAGGTATCTAGGTCACATGCAAATGTACGATGTAAACAAACAAAGGTTACAATTAGCATATAAGAGTACATGCATGAGATCTTGGGAGCTTCAACCCTGACAACCAGTACGTGCACATTCGGTAGCAGTTCACGTACAGTACATTTATGAAACATTGGAGTAAACAGTTCAGTCCCCCCCCCCGAATGCAAAATGTGAACGTGAACTTTGTTGATGGTTTTCAGATTCATACTTAGTGTACCCCTATGTGATCAGTTCAAACTTTCCGTCTAACCACTTCAGGAAGAAGACATCAAAGTGGAGTACGAAGTGAGGTTACACCTCTACGATGTGACGTACAAGATGTTTTTTGGCCGTTCCTGGGTGGGGCCGCGACAGAGCACCAAAAGAGGGCCAGCCAACACCTCAAGACTTTCATATAACGTGGTACGGTTTATATCTCAGCAAAAGATCTCCAGCCACTTAGCAGTCAGAGATCCAAGACTTTTTCATGCAAGTTGAATCTGAACAATGTGTGGTGTGGTTGAACACGTTTTGTTAACAAACAAACATGCAGATCTGTTTGTATTAGAATCAGGGAGGTCATTTTTCTCCCACTCAAATTTCCGTGTCAGGCCTAGTGGCCTTGTACATTAACTTTTGAGCATGTGGTCAGGGATGCGAATTCAGCTGCTGTTCAGGCCTACATGTTGTGTCCTTAAGCAAGTCAGTTTACTCCAACTCTCTCCGCCCAGCACTTTGGGTACCTATGAGGGTAGAGATGGTTGATTAGCCATTCGTGCCTGGAATGGCAGAATCCAGCCATGTACTACTCCACCCAGAGGGTCGATGGAACGCTTATGGATCCAGTTAGCGGGAATAACTTAATGAATACCCATGGAGAGCTTTGTCATGGGACAGCCATCTTGTTTTCCACCATTGAAAGCAGTGTAACCAAATTGAGGCTGGAAAAAATATAGTCAGTGTCCCATTTTGTCAATAAGCAATCTTTTATTGTTTTTGTCATTGGGTATACAGGGATAAGACAAAATGGCAGCATGATGATAAAGGTCGGGAGCAATGCCCATTACCCATCTTTGTGTCGCTCATTGTTTGTTTGTTTTTTTCTTCAGCCTGTATATTTCCACACATCACTAGCAGATCAAAACATAGTCCTAGTGGTGGAAGTTGTACGGGTGACCACCTCGAGGGGCGGTGAGGTGCAGCTCATGGCATGCGGTTGGGGCATCTTGAGGCTCTTCCATCAAGGTAATCACCCCTCTCCGAAGTCCAGGGTGACAGTGTGAGGATATTGAAAGTGTGAATATCGCGAATACACAGGAACCCAGCCACCTGCTCACAGTCAAGAGTTGTTTCTACTCAGTGGGGAGTATTCACTTGGCCAACGCTCTAGCATGGCTGTCAAACGTGGCGTTCTTCCATAGCAAAGTGTGTCATAAGTGTCTTTCTACCCAAACTAAAGCTGATTTTCGGTGTAGTGCTCAGCACATCAGTAGTCTGAGTACTGTACCGACCGTCAGCTTTATTTTCGGTGTGAGACTTGTGACACTTTTCTACAGGAGGACGCCATGTTTGCTGATGTTTGAAACCCACTATGCTGTAGATCACGTGACGTAGCGGGCACAGTCGGTCTGTTGGTTGAATCATATTGGCCCTATCCCAGTCAAGGATGTTTTGGTCTTACTTTTCTAGGAGACTTCAGCGATACGTCTCACAGCACGCCAGCGCCGGTCAAGAGGCTAGATCTACTTCATGGCTCCCCTAGAGCTCTGTTCTTCGTGGGGGACGATATTGAAGGTAAACGTCTGTAGCGGCAACTGGCATGATCAGACCACATTATTGCACCTTTTCTTTACGAGACCAGGAATATCAGTTGTTACGACATGCAGGGGAATAAAAGTGTTCCCCTTGCTTTTTCAAATGCTGCTATCGTTTCTTTTAAAGAGAATATTCCAGGGTGTCACATTTGAAGTTGACTGTTCAGAGTATAAAAAAGGAGGCCCTTAAAGTTTGAGTAAGTCAAAAATACGTCATCAGTGAAGTTCCAGTTTGAAATTTTTCAGAATATTTTAATCATTCACAGCATCACAAAAAAAGTTTTTGTCAGTTTCCCATTCATACCAAGTTACCAAAAAAGAACATGGAAGTTTAAAAAAACAAAGAACAAATGTGACAAAATGCATTCAACTTGCCAATTCTGTCTTAATACCCCAAATGCCCATCAACAACCTTTGGACACAAAGTGTAATTCTATTTCAGTATTCTAGGAAGCCAAGTTTTTACTGCTGACTGTCCTGCCTAAACCTTGGTTTTTCTTTGTCCAAGTAGTTACTAAGTGTTTTTTCCAAAGATCAGGGACTTCATAGGTTTTCAGCTCCAGCACACAGCATCATTCATTCAATAGTTGGTCTGCCCTCCCGTGATTTCTTCACAGGAAATAAAAAACTCACAGTGATATCCGACTGTCAGGTTTGCTACACGATACGCACGCACCGTTACATGGATAAGATCATGCATCTTGTTCCAGAGAACGTCTTACTCTCTGGCCACGAGAGAGTGCCTGGCGTTGCCGTGGTAGATCCCAAAGAAGGTATTTTTCTTCTGTCTTTGTGTAAATCGGCTTTTGGGTGGACTGTCGACGTTTGAGAAATTTTTTTTACCCTTAGAGCTGACGTTTTTCTGACTTTTTTCGACCGAGGGAGGGGAATTCTGGGCCCTTGCCCCTAAGAGCTAATACTATAAACTCAACGACCAGATTTTTTTTAAACAATCAGGCAACTGTGGTCCAGAAAGTATGGAGGTTCTGCACGGCAGCCATCTTTCCTGTAACTGCTTTTGTTCAAAGGGATAGTACAAATCGTCTGTGCATGTGTATCCCTGTGAAACAGCTGTCATGGGAAAAATGGCTGCCATGTAGAACTTCTGTACTTTTGGAATCCCAGTTTTGACCCAAAAAAAGCCAACATGAATATAGTTTGGCAAAAACACTACAGCACGACCACTGTGTTTTTGTTTATTTTGTGCGTCTTGAGTTTCCAAAACTGATAGTAATTCTCGTGGGCTGTACGTGAGTCGACTTATTCCTGTTTGTTTACTGTGAAACTGCTCCTTAAATGGCTGTGTAAAAGCATTTTTTTTGTTGGGGTGTTTGTTTGTTTGTTTGTTATGGAGCAGGCGGAGACAGCTTACGGAGACCAAGGCCACTGAAGCGAGTCTCCGCATCCATTAACAACATATCGATTGTCGTGTATCCAACTTTTGACGAATTTGAAGAGGAACTGTGCCAACAGCTGAACTCTGACCGCCTCGCCATGGTAATGGGCTTGTTGATTTGGCGTGATTCTTGCTGGTTAAGATTCATTGATTGTTACTTTAACAGAATGTGGGCAGCTTTGTCCCACTACCAACTTGTCCTAGGCACCGCAGTGTATTTTGTCACAAACATCGGCTTCTTAACCACGTCACACTTGATGAAGGTGCAGATGTAGAGGGATTTACTGTGTCAGCATTTCTCAAGTTCAACTTTGTAAGGGGCCGTGGTCGTGGTATCTTGTCATTTTGAAAAGTCTGTATTTTCGGCCGAAAAAGATTTTGTTGCCAGGATGGGTTTGTTGTGGTAATCAACCGTGGACAAGAGTTGAATATGACAAAATAAGCCAACCACAGTCCCATTGGTATAGCGCTTTCAGTGCGGGCTTTCCAAATATCTATTCTGGTGGAGTATTTAAAGTTCTCTTTTTATACCACGTAGGAGCAAGTCCAGTCCGACAAATGTAACGTCGTTGTCTTGGAGCGAAGGTTGCAGATCGGCGTTCACAATGGGTGGGGTTATGTCGGAAAGCCACAGGTTATTTTACTAGACACGGCCGACTCTCTCACTAGAGGTCACAGCAGGGGAAGCATGAAACGGTCGAAAGGAAGACCGCTGTCCACATCAGGGTCAAGGTATATACTTAGTCTTTGCTCAAGACTTCAGCGATTGATAGCGATGGTTGGAGTTGTCAGCTCACCTGTTTTTTTCCTTTCTCAAACCATGTTCGCACTAACGTCTTGTTAATTGTGAGTTAGACCATTGGTGTATATTAATATGTGACCTGTCATCACGAAGTGAGCTTAAAGTCGGAATTTTCCAAAATTGAGATATTGGTATTTTTGAATTTAGCAGAAAAAGAGCTTTCCAATGGCATGGAACACATAGGGTGAAAGTATCAGGTGACAAAATAACATTATTCTGGCAGCTTTGCGTCAAGGTTCACGGCATAGTTTCACTGTTTCATGCCAGGCACAATTAATGCTATCGTCAAAATTGCTGAGAAAAGGAACCTTTTTTAACATATGATCCTGTGAAATATTTGGAATTAAATAGGAGACGGGTTACTCTTTCCAAATGTAACAAAACCTCTAAATTGACCTTCGCTTCAATAGGACTTTGAACTCTCAAAATAGGAAAGAGCGAGATGTGACTTTACTCTCATTTTGTCGTAACAGGTCACATATTTGCAAATGAACGGCGACTTCCTATTTGCAGGTAGTCGCGTGTGGGTTATCACTGCATTGCATTTCTAACTAGCATGCATGATACCCATATCTCACAGTTGAATTCTGTTTGTGGCGAGTACGCATACAGCCGTTGCGTGACCGATAATAAACCATTTTGTAATTGCTGATTGGTCCCCCAGGAAGACCTAGGGAGAACTTAAACTGCTTCTATAAGATTCCCAAGATGTTTGTGCCGGCAAGCACGCTTGTCTAATTGGGTCATTACAGGGCGCTCTGTGCTCGAATTATTGTTGAGCACAAGTGTCTTGGGGCCAAGATGAGGCACCATGCACCATAGGTGGGCTTGTGGGATGGAAGCCTGTCCCGGAGGCCACTCTTAGACGCAGTTGAAGTGTTCAAAATTCGAAGTTATGATAAGGGATTTCACACTATTCAATGTTCCAGTGACTTCAGGAGTCAGGATTTTAGAGGCTTTTGATTTTATGTTAAAAGTTGCCAGATACCTCTTTTCATCTTTAAAGCTCAAGTTTCCAGCTCAAAAAAATTTCCTGCCCAGAGTCAGTTGGTTTTCTAATAATCCTGGCATCAAGTGATCCAAGGATGGGAGTTTGAATACCAAGAATATTTCCTGCCCGGAGTCAGTTGGTTTTCTAATACTCCTGGCATCAAGTGATCAAAGGGTGGGAATTGGAATACCCATTCATCTTGATTTTATCTTCTACATCAATTTGACACTGAAGAAGCTGATATTTTTGTCTTTAGTGAAAGTCTTGGATCGGCTCTGCTGGTCAAAAACAGGATCACCTTGTCTCAGCTTGTGGAGGACCCGGCTGTCGTGATCGTCTTTCTCCTGGAGTACATCGTATCGTTACCCGCGTCCACGCAAGACAGAAAGGTTTGTGAGTGTGTTAAGAGGCAGCACTAGCTATGTACGTGTTTGAATCTGTCAAAGGTTTGACAGGTAAATCCACAGATTTGAATGCATTGTTATGTTAGTAGGTAGCTGTCATCTGGGTCCATTTTGACAGTGCCGCTAAATACGTAAGTTTACTCTTATAGAGGCTCTGTGTATTTCATGGAGACCGTAAGCGAGGAGCAAAGCATAGGGCTAGCTAACCTTCGAGGAAGAATTTGCTTCAACTTGGTGACGTAACATAGAAACTTCTATGCATGCAAAGCATCAAGCATAGCCATGCCAAGTACCGCCATGAACGAGTGCTTACGGTTAGCGATTTTTCTGTTATAGTAAGCATGACTTCCCTGCTACCTGTTAAGCAGGTCCTTGAATTGGGGTCCCGATTGGTGGATGAGTGGTCACATGTCATTGAGCTGTCCTTTCAAAAGGTGACCATATGATGTTCATTGTCTAATGGAATGTTACATTATGGTGTAGATATGCCACATCTATGGGCTCTTTGCATGACAAAATGGCGAAAGGTGCATGAAACACTATTCTGTCTTCTCACAGCAGAAAAAAAAGTTGTAATTTCAATAGGGGCGATTCACAATAGTGTGCCTCCAAGCGTTTGCGACGTGTTGGCCAATCACAGTGCGTGAGATCTGTTTACCCTTTCCTGACGCGCATTAGGTCGATAGATTTTGTGCATTGTGATTGGCCAACGCATTGCAAACTCTTGGTGACACACTGCTGTGAATCCCCTGTTGGGTCGACAGATTATGCGCACTGTGATTGGCCAACGCGTTGCAAACTCTTGGTGGCGCACTTTTGTGAATCCCCCGTGTTGGTTGTAGATTGAGTGTACCATTCCCCTTTGACTTTGCCTCGAGGGATGGGACATTCAATCTTTCTCTGCATGAAATCATTCTTACCGTTACACTTCATGAATATTCATTAATCCCATGTTACTACTCCAACGATTGTATTTGCAGTCCGCTATGAGCATCAACCGGGCACAAACGCAAACCATCGCGCTCCGCTGGGCAGCCTGGACGCCAACGTTCAAGGAGAGCACGTGCGAAGTGGCGGCACAGCTGCAAGGGGGTGCCCTGCCGAACCCGGACAACATCATGGTCTACCGGAATCACAGCGCGGCTCTGAGCGACAGGGAGATGTCCAGGCTGGCAGCTGGGAAGATACAGTTCATCTTCAATGTCAAGGTACAATTTTGGACGTAAGGTGTCTGAGCACAAAGCCACGTTGGGTCAAATTTTTGGGGGAGATACAGTTCATCTTCAATGTCAAGGTACAATTTTGGACGAAAGGTGTCTGAGCACAAAGCCACGTTGGGTCAAATTTTTTGGGCAGATACAGTTCATCTTCAATGT